AATCGTAAGAAGTTTGAAGATAACGATAAAGAAGTACTGTAGCTCGAACTACCGTACCACTAGGGTGTGCATGGTTCACACAACCAAAAATATTAATGACAAGCATCAATCTCTCTCATGAAACTCTTGGAAAATTTAGCTTTCTTTCCAAATGGCCGTGAACTGCAAAGAACGATGCATCGTTCAGTATTTTTTGCCCTTCCATACGAGCTCGTAATAAATAAAACCAATTCCAGAGGATGAAATCCCCAGATAGTCTGAAGGAAATTAAACAGGACTTCATGTTCGGAGCATGCAACAGTAGCGCCGCCGCGTGCCACAGTTCATTCTCGCCCGACTCTAATATTTATTCAAAGGAATACGGCCATTGAAGTATTCTGGCCTATTTTTCAATGTACACATCGTTAGGACAATCGGCCCTGTTTATATTAGAGAGAGGGCTGTTCTGGTACAAAGCACTCGAGGCATTAAAAATCATGGCAAACATTTTTTTGTTACAATCATTTTCCTTGAGAAGAAAAGGACCGGGGCGGGTGAACAAAAGCCTTTCCAAGTCAGAGGGTGGAAAATTGGTTCGTCTACGATGAAAGTCGTGCCCCTCCACCTCCCAGTCTATCCATTCGAAAATGGTGGTCGCGATGGGCGAAGTGCAAATGGATGGGCGGAGCTAACAAAGGTCCCCCTTTCCTTATTCGTGGATGGTTGCACAGATCTCCACCAACCACCAATGGAGTGTGCACTGACTTCTGCCCGCTCCGCCCATCTGCGGTACCAATGTGATCAGTCCCTCTAATATCACTGAAGCTCCTGTATGTCGGAGGAAGTATAAACGCGAAGCCACCTTTCTCCTACCGTTCTCAAATTCGCCCAAAAAATGAGGGAAGTTAGAGACAGGGAAGAAACTGACCTCAACCGGTTTTCGCTTCCAACTCGCTTCTTTGATCTTCTCCTTTGCTCGGCGATTTCGTCGTCGCGCGCCGCGTTCGTCGGTCGACAACACGGCGGCGGCAGCGGCGTCAAGATCCGGACAACTTTTTCGTAGGGGATTGCTGCTGGAAGAAGACTTTTGAAGACATGAAAATGCGTGCACATTGAAGAAGCAGACATTTGCGCGCTACTCTCAATACTGACTAGCTACAAAAACTCTGGAATTCTCGTCCAAAAGGGCGGAGCTTGCACGAGACTCCATGAGACTTGTGCGTTTTAAGGCCTGGCTATTTGCAAAAGGCAATGAAATCTATTCATAAGGAATAGGAAAGATGGAAAATGACAGCTTCGTTTCAAAGCCATAAAACTATGAAATTTGAGCTTCAGTAGTAGGACTATTTGGACGAACTGTGAGATCGAAAGACAAAAAAGCTCCATTTTAGCTGTGATGTAGGTGGATCAATTTCTGGATTAGGATGGGCCTGTCGTCAATAATACAGAGTTTGTTCTGATAATGATTTCGGGTGATTTCGGGCTCAAATGTGCGCGACAAGGACGCCAGAGCTTGTCACTACAAAGTGCTGATGCGAGCTGAAGGGGTTTCTCACGACGAAAAAGTCGCGTGTGTCTGCGTTTCGCTCGTCCCCATGCTCTCTCATATGTTCTCACGCCTTGGCGCGCATTGTACCTCATTTCAGTTCCATTCTCACTAGACCTTCATTTTCAAGCGCAGTAACACATAAGTGATCGTAGAAAACAACTTTGATAAAGTAAACAATAATAATCACAGAATTGTAATACGCAACTAGGAACAATTTTCTTGGAGGCAAATATTACCTGGAATTGTAGTTATAACTTATGTTCCGCCGTAGTTCTTTCCTCGACCAATACTGCCCCGGTGCTGTACAGCCGTATCATCAACAGGTTATTGTTTCTGCTAATATCGCCGCGCTTCATATTAACAAATAAATAGTTGCACGTTGTTTGACAGAAGAGATTGTGTTTCAAAAGCAGTGTACGACAACAAAAACTTTTGCTATAAATCTAGTATCCGCAGGAAAAAATAGATGCCGTTAAAGCAACAATGTCACAAGTTTGAAATGACTCATGGGATCACGCTAAGGTCTCCGGTCGACTTCGCGGTCAGTCGTCGTTATCGACACGCGCGACCCATTTACTGGTGTTATCGTCACCCTCTGAGCTCGCGGAACGAAGCCCAGATGCCCCGATCAATCCTGCTGCCAAAACCGCGCGCCATTTCCATGTGGTCCCTCTCAAAGTGGCACGTGCCGGATGCGGTTTCCTATAAAAACTATGTCCCCACCCCTCCAGGCTATAAGCATCGCTCGCTCGCTGGCCGCGGCACCCCACCTCTGTGCGTGACTTTAGCCCGCTTAGCGAGGAGAGGAGCGTTAAATGTTTGAAGAGGGCACGCCGAAATCACAAGCCATCAAGTGTGTAAATCACGGGCAAGGAAGAGATCCATTTCTCCGTCCTGGGCACCACCTCCACCTTAATTTCTAATGGGCCGTCGTAAACGCTTTCTTAAGCGTTTTATGGTTCTTTGCCCCGGATGCTCTACTTAAAAGACAGTTACAAATGAATTAAGCAAACCGTACTTTTGTAGACGGCAGCCGTTTCTGACAACTGTCTGGTTCGTCGATATTCATCAGCAGGAGGGGCTCGTTCGATTTTTACCGGTACCCGAACTTCCACTTGACGTGGAGCCGTCTCGCTTTTGCTGCGCCCGCCACGCGACTCGGACAGGTTCATACTCATCGGTCGATCATCCCTGAATCATGGCAATGGGATACTGTAAACAGTTATGAGACCATGCTAATTTCGTTTACCTTCTCATACAGTCATGATCCATACTTGGTCGCGATTGTTTTCGATCACGAAACGTCCAGTTACCGCTGAAGAATGACGGTTTTTTAGAGCTGAAAAGATGTCAAGGAGGGGAATAACGAAGTTTTTAATTAGATTTTTGGTCATTTCAAAAAACGAACCACTAACCGTTTTTGACGAATGAAGTCGCGGGGGCGGTGCAAGACACCACGGAGTTCCATTGCATAACTGTGATTATAGCGGGTAAATCGACGCAGGGCTGGCTGTTCGTCGCAGCCGTAAATACCAGCAACCTAAAAACATGCGGTATTGGTCTATACAATATTGAACTTAAAGACACATGCCACGACCATTGGATGGGGTCGTTAGGCCCGAAAATAAAGTAGCTATGGTAAATGACTCAACAGGACCGAGAGTGCAAAGAGACACCTAGTAATGGTCCTGAAAAATACATCTTGTACTGACTGTGTGGGCGGGGTGTGCGTTTTTGTCATTGGTCAACCCTTTCTTCTGGGAGCACTGATGCGGAAAAGAGGAAGGGCCGACTAGAAGGCCACAGTTTCCACTCAGGCCCTATGTCCAAGTAACTTTGACGAATCGCGCAGATCGCAACCGCCTTGTGATCTAATTTGAGGCGGAATTGGTTCTAAGAAGTGTCTGAGCGCTCCGCCAACCACTGCCACTACGCGCGCTGAGGGACCTGTGGCCCCAAGATACGACAATGACGATCATCAAATCGCTCCACTTCGTATCGTTTTTAGCCGCCCTTAAGAGCTAGCTTATAGATAAATTTTGATAGGTTTAGCCAGTCTTTATGTTGGCCCTGAACACTGCTCGTCGACCAAATACCACGTCTATTCAGACGACATAAGTACGTCAACCAAATGCGGCCCTTATACGGTCTTTAAGAGGTTAGATAAACTACGGTCTTTGAGAGTTAAATAACTGATCTGTACTCAGTCCAAAGGAAGAAAGGCGTGTGAGTTATGCAAATTATGAATTGTATAAATAACAAAACAATATATATATATATATCAAAAGCTTCCTGTCGGGCTCTCATAAACCAGTATGTGTCTATACGAACGCCGTGCACAGTGGCAGGTGAAAGGGTAAACGAGGACAACAACATCAAACATAAGGGTGAAGAATGTCGCCAGATTACGTCAGAATGATCTCATTCGCAGATTCAAATCTCAGCTCTGGAACAGATTCCCTAATAGCAGACAAATCTGATAAGTGCGCCATTTCATCGCCATCGCGATAGCGATCACAAGGGGACGGCGTTCCAGAAGCGGCGGGATTTAGCAGTTGAGAACAAGCGCTCCAGTCTTACGCTGTTCAGGAAAGGATTAATTCCACCGATCTAAATTCTCGCCTCCAAGCATTTCATGCTGTGAAATTATAACCGTCAACCGGTACGTGAGAGTACAGCCTTGAAAAACTACTGGATTTGGTGAACTATTCCAATGCGCAACTTCCTCACCCACTGGCTTAGCTACTGGTTGTTCTACTGTGACTTTGTACATACACCAACTCACATTGACATGGTGTACTCTAAAATGACTAGTGTGTACGCAACCAATGAAAACCCCTCATTCGGGAGATGAAGAAAGGAATATTGAAACGAAAATCAGCAATACGAGCACACCCCGCTCGCGTTGACTAATATAATATAGGCCTGCACTTTTAATTTCCCACTGCGATAATAATGCAGCGCATTGAATAGGTATCTGATCTACACGGGCTTGAGTGGTGGTTTGGTCAATGGTATCGCTTTCATAAATGAGTAGGACATCAAGAGAGCATCTCGAAAGATTAGAGGGTTCAGTAGACAAGGATGGGATTCGCTGCCATGAAGAACAAGCGATAAGCCATATTTCTAGTCATCGCGCCAGATCCACCTTTTGGTCGCAAATTGACGAATATCTTGAATAAGTACCTTTACTTTGCTATGGGATGATGTTAATAGAGCTTTCAATTATAGGATTCAAGGAAACATCAAACGATAGCCACGAACATAAGAAAATTCACAGTCAGCTTCCAAAAAAGGTCAAAGATAAAGTATTCGTCGTTTAGCAATATGTTTTGAGATGCTCCACGCATTCTACTTACGATTAGATACATAATTGTATTAGCATATAAAAGCAACACGGCCTACACAATCGCTTGAAGGCAGCCGCTGTAAAACTCAATGCATTTTCTAATTCGGTCTCATTTTACCGGCCTCAATGAGGAGGGCTGGATGAAGGTAGGGGTGTGATTGGGCTGGACGGTGTACCAGGACTTGGTCCGCGGATCTCGCATGCGTGGTAAAAGGTGTCACATGTAGCCATCACTTCCACCAAAGCATTGAATAAATAATACCAAAAACACCCACATTCAGACCTAACTCGAAAATAGGAGTAAGAAAGAAGGAGGAAAGAGTTTTACCGCTGGCCTAAAAAACCGCTACAAAGAAATGAAGGCAATCAAGGCTTTACCGATGGATCTCAGTAGAACGGACTCAACTTGCAGCAGCAGCTGCAAAGATTGCATTAACGGCGTGTTGCATGAGAGATGCTGTGTTGCATTCCTCCCATCAAAAACCGGCCCTTCTAGTGACTTTCACCCTCGAGAGCGGATACGGCGAGAGGGGATAATGCGAAATTTGAGAAGGAATCTTTGAAAAAAGGAGGAACTGGTTGACGATTGGGCGCTTTGAAACAACTTTCAGTCTTTGAGGAGCTGATTGTTCACTTAAGGTTTTTATGAATATTCTTCTCAAGGTATTATCCAACTGAGACGACCAATGCTTGCACCCTATACAAGGATGTCAAAAAATGGAGAAGAACTGATACCATAAAGTGAAAAGATACAGCATTCAGCGTCGATCAGTTACATTTCGGGATGCGCCACGCATTCCCTTTGCATTCAAAGTCATGATGTGACAATGTAATCTTGCTAAGTGATGAGAGGGCTAGACGATGCACAAAACTTTGTTTTGTTTTCCTAGGCAAATCTGGATCTACCAAGAAGGGTTTGCCTGGGAAGACGCGATGTGGGACATGACTCTCGGCAAGGGTGGGAATCGGCTTCAATTGCTACTACACCACCTCCGCTCCACAGTATAACAGGTTCAACGTAGGTGATATATGAAGCTG